ATGTACAGCATAAGGTTCTTGTTCCCATCCAGAAATCATTATTTTTTCGTTATTTTCAATCATATTTGGTAATTTTTTGATACGTTGTCCTTTTACAAAAAGTACTGATGGAGGTCCCATTTCACAACAAGTATATACATAAATTTTGAACCATGGAGAAGAAACATGAGGAATTGGAGGTCCATAAAAGTTAGGAATACAATTTGGTAAACTAATTGCCCTTGAAGCGATTGGAGCTGTGGCTATCAGAATAGAATAATTCATTTCAATAATACGCATTTTTGTACCTTGGTCTAAATTATTCAAACTCTCACATCTTAACATATCCACACCTCCATCAGATCCTGACATGGCAAAGTTTTGATTGTGTCTCAAAAATCTCAAAGTGTTTCTTAAGGCAATTGCATGAGTATAGTATTTAAGTGCTTCTCCTTCATTATCAGTTGGACAAACTACTTTATCCAATTCCCTCAAAAATTCATCTAATAATTCATCTTGCATTTTTCCAACTTCAAAGAGTGTTACAGCATGATTTTTTAATCCTTCTGCTAAATTACCCATCATTAAATATGCTGTGAGGGATGAGTCGAATAAGAATCCAATTCTCTTTTTTTTTTCACCACCATTCTCAAAACTTGATGTAAAATTAATAATAGCATTATTTTCTGTTGATAATTTTTCACTTGTGGCATTGGATTCATCCTTGACTAGCTCTTCGTGGTATTCATCTATGAAGGGTTGCCAAATATTTTTATATTGATCTTCACTTGTTTCAGATAGATTCTTTGGTTTAGCCACTCTTTTTTTAGCAAACCCTAATCTACAGCACACAGAGACTGCAGATTTAATGATATTTTCATCTACTTGTAAAATATTAGCTAACTGTCCAACTGTAGTTCTTTCATCCAATGTAACAAGGATATCATAAAGTAACTTTTCAAAATGATCATTTGGCGTTCTATTCATAATAAATCCCTTCAAAGGTGGTATTACTATATAATCATCGCTATTGATAGGTACATGAAAATGTACTAGACCTTTCTTGTAAATTGATATTAGCTCTGGATAGGAAATTCTACAAGCTAGAATTTTACCTTCATTTTTTACCATAGCTACTGCAATAGCCTCATCAGTGGTGAGTGTCTGTTATTGATAATGAGAATGATTAATGATCAATGTTAAAACTAAACTCACATTATAAATTTTTAGAAATTCTTGTTGAGGCATTGGAAAACAATCAACAATCCACCAATAGTCTATTTTTGTATCAATTGGTTGTAAAGGTAATTGTTCTCTTATAATATTCTTATTGAATCTCCAAGTCCATTTTTTACTTCTAACTTTGTTCATAATATCAATATATTGATTTCTTCCAATTCCCAATAATCTATTTACATCTGCAGCTGTAAAATTAGGAAGAATATCGTACGATTTTTCATTCTTCATAATTGTAAATACCATTTCAATATAAAAACTAAATGGTAAAATACCCAACTCGTTGATGACAACATCAGAAAATTGGTATGGAAATAACTATTCATCCCGAAGAAAGATTATGTGATCAAAAATATAACACGTGATCAAGAACTTACTCTCAAATTATTTCTCAAATATTCTACCATCTCCAAATAATAATCTCTCTTACTCATCAACAATAATTGTACAGGAGCTTGTTCATATGGTATTTGTCTTTCCATAGCATAATCTTTCAAGATTTTTTCAAACATTTGTTTATTTCCTCCTAGCACCTCTCTCACATCATTAGGAAGAGTTTCCCAAGTACAGGTAATAAATTCCTCTATGATCTCGTTGATAGCTGCAACAGAAGAGGTATGTTGCAGGGAGGTTGGTGAATTTAAGCTCATTTTTTTATTAAAAAATCTTTTGCTAATGAAACACCATTCGATTTTATTTCGGAAATGAATTGATTATCTTTTTCTGTTGCCCACATTCAACAATCTCTTGTGAACTTCATTTTCTGCCTTTTCTTTTTTAAGGAGTGGTTTAGATGGAGGTAATCGTGTAAAATCAAAACTTTCTTTCCTTGGAATACTAGCCCTGATTGAATTGGATTTAGGTTTCTTCCTTTGGATTGGTTCTGAAGATTTAGAAAATGAAGAGGTTTGTTTTGGTGATGGTTGTGGAGTTTCATCCACCATCACGGCTTGCTTTTTGTACAATTCTCCGTATTCTGATGGTAATTGATATACTAATCTGCTCCATCGTTCAACAATTTTTTTAGCCAACTTTCTATTGCTTGGTGTTGTTGATGGATTGTTAGCAATTTGTTTGATTGTTTTTGGAATCTTGGATGATTTCAATAATTCTCTTGTAATCCATTTTTCATCTCCTTCATATGATGATGAAACTGGTAAATCATTTAAAATTGTCAACACTCCAGTTTGAATATTGATACTTGGGTGTGGTAAATCCTTATCAGGTACTATCCACTTCTCCAATGCTCCCAAGATACCTTCGGAGATTAAATGGCCTTGTAAATAAATCTTTTTACAAGATTCAATAACTTCAGGAAGAAGTTGTAACTTGTTAAGAGCAGGTTTCTTCTTGTGATATGCCTCCACATCATCAGAGTAGGCAGCAGTCATACGTTTTATAATCTCTGCTGCTTGTGGCTGTGCTGTAGCTTCCAATTTATCTGTAGAAGCTGAACGACGTGATTTGACCTCTTTCAAAACATACTTGTTGAATTCGTCATCATCCACATTTTGTTTTGATCGAGACGATCCTTCATTTTCCTCATCATGGATTAGAGAAGAGTCATCCTCATTGGAAGGACTAGTTTCTTCATTTGATTCCTTCTTTTTCTTCCTTTTTTCTTTTCCTTTTTGTAATCTTTTTCTTTTCTTTTTTTTATCCACTTCTTCGTCATTGTTTTCATCCTCTTCATTGACTGATTTTTCACTCTCTTCCTCATCTTGGTAGTCATCATCATCATCCTTTTTTTGTCTTCTCTTTTTTTCTTTCACTTCTAATTTCTTTTTCTTTTTTTTGGATGATTTCTTTGGTTCTTCTTTTTCTTCTTCATCAAACTCTAACTCTTTCTGTTGTTTTTCCTCGGATTGTTCTTCCTCATCATGATATTGCTCTTCTGTAGGTTGTTCTGTAGGTTGATCATCTTCCTCATCATACATATCATCGTTATCTTGTATTTGTGTGGCTATATAAGAGTGAGATGATTCTTCTTGTGGAGATTCGCTACCATTAGATTGCTCTTCATCGTCCTCTTGTACTTGTGTATGTTGTATTTGGGTTGGAGAGTAGGACATTATGCTCACAGTAATTGTTTGTGATGAATTTTTTTTTATCTTATTTTTTAATTTTATTTTTATTCAATAGACAGATCTTTGCTTTGTCTTATTGCATTCCGCAGCCTTGTTACTGTTCTGCTTGATGTTTTTTTCAAATTATTAGATATTAAAATTGGTGTTTTTGGTCTTGTTGGAGGTTCTGCTTTGGAGAGTGGTTTAAGTTCTCTTTTCTTTTCAGTCTGTGAGGTAATTGAAACATTCCTCAAATTCTCTTGTAGTTTGTTTTCCACTTGTTTTACTTCGGAAAAGCTTGGAACTTTGTAGTCACATAAAGATTTGTTAAATGAAAATTCCTCATCAATTAATTCTCTTATATACTCAATATCTTCATTCAAAATATCCTTTTCAAAATGCATGGCCTCTCGGATATTTGTCAATACTTCGTGCACTGAAATGAAATTTAAATGTTTTTCCACTTCTTTCATTTCTAACCCAGCAGAAAATGTTGAAGATGATCCAGAACCATCACTGGAATTTGAAGATTGTCTGGAGGATGGTCTTGGTGTTTCTGGTCTCGATGGTGGTTTTGAATTATTAAGAACAAATGATACTGAACAATTTTAGAGATAGAAAAATCTTCAGAAACAAACCTATTTCTTTATCCCTTTCCGATTCAAAAAGCTTATCGTGTTGCTTTGAAGATGAGATCTTGAAATGACAAAATCAACTTACTTTTTTAAGCATTTCAGTTAGGGATTGAATGTTTAATTTAACCTGTTTGAATATAGTATCACCCTTGAATGACATCCTTGCCCACTCAACTTGTCTTTCTTGTTGCTGTGTTTCTCCACGGTAATCAAATAGAATTTCTATTAAACTTTTTAATTCATTGTGTAGTTCCTTTAATTTAGATTGTATTAATAAGTTCCAATTATCTACAACCTACTTACTTCAGTTTCCGAAATTATTTGCTCTCCTATCTGTCTCCTTATTGCGTCCCTTTCAATATCTTTTATATATGTACATAATTGGTTCCACAATAATTCCTTTGTTGCCAGCGAATTAATTTCTGGAACTCTGACAATATAACTTGTGTACCATTCTTTGGGATTATTTTCTTCAATTTTAATCGCAATTCTCATCATTTAATAGTTGCTTAAATCTGTAGTTTTTTTTAGTGGGAAACGTTAATGTTTGGCGCGATTTTTTTGCTGTTGTTCATAAAGTTTAGAGGAAACACAACATTAAAAAATGCAGCAAGACATTGACAGGGTTTCTTTGAGTATGTTTCCACGAGCACACCAATCTGCTAACGTGATTAGACGATTGTCAAATCTTATACATCATCTTGTTCCAGAGCATCAACCAATGCCAGCAGTTCATTCTCAACGTGGATACAATCATCAAAACTTCCGACAACATCCACAATCCCTAAACTACAAAAACACTATCAATAGAAGGCAAAATGCTCTTGTGCCTGTTTACTACGAAAATAACAATGAATTTCTTAGGATGGTTGTTTCAAATTATTATTCAAATCTACATTCATTTTCTTCTTGGTAATAATTTTAGATTGTGGAGTAAAAGGACTAATTTCTAGGATCCTAATAACGCAATTCTTATTGATATTTTAATTTAAAATTTAATTTACATTTTAATAGAAAAACCTCCATATTAATTACAAGAATTAGTATTCCATGTTGGTAAAATTTAAAAAGAAAAATAAATGTTTTATTTTCTTTGTTTGAGTTTCTTAATTTTCCAATACATTTCCTTAATAAACTCATAACTAACCACCCCAAGAATTAAAAATCCCCAAATTATTGCTATCAATTCCCCAGGATATAAGTACATTGACTTAACCATTACATCATTAAATTTACTTGGGTCAGGATATGGAATTAAGGAGAATACAATGATAGCAATCCAACCAACACAAAAGAGAACTATCACCAACAATGAAAATGCAATGATAGAATATCTTCTCCATCTATATACTTCTCTATATTTAGTTTTTCTAGCCCATACCAAACTAATCAGCCAAATAGCAGGCAAGAAGAATCCGAGAGCGAACAATATCTTTGAAATTATTGTGTCTCGTTTTTCTTGATATGAAACAATCTTATTATCGATCTCAATATTGTTTGCGACATTAACAGTAGCTTGGGATGAAATTGTTCCTTGATCCAGTCTATCCTCATCAACATATACTGACATTTTTTTAAATGTTAATTTTCCTTACAGCCCTTTTGGGCTTTCGTAATATCCCGCCAATTTTGTACAACTTTCAAAAAATACACGTTAAAAAATGCACAACGATCTCCCTCAAAAATATGAGAGGGACAGGATATCACTAATGTTCCAAAAGAATTTATTAAAAACCCTACAAAAATTCTTTGAAATGGAAAAATTATACAATAATTCAAGTGTTGGATCATCGTTGAAATTGGATTTGTCATTCTTGGATGTATTTTTTTCTTCTTGTGCGGAAATTGCAAAACCTTTGAAGAAGGCTTGGAAAGTGTTAGCGTTCATGATATTGGATGTTCAAAGCATGGAGGATTTGAGAAAGGAGCAAATTATGATACAAAATATTTATTCTAAGATTTTTGATGAAAAATTAATAAGATGGTTCGAGACTGCTAAGGTTGTCGTTTTAAAGAGTTGGAATAAGGTGCTCTCTGATTATGAAACAATACATGAATATTCAAGTGATTTGTTTAAATCGCAATTAGACAAAATACTTGATAGAATTAATAATATGAACTATATATCAATTGAGTTTCTTCAATTACTAAATAGATTGAGACAATACTTTTTAGATTCATGGTTTCACAAGTTAAGATCAAACGCATATTCTCTCTCATCTGATTATGATTCATTTTGTGAAAAGTTCGACAGTATTGAACTGTGTTTAGAATCTTTTGTAATAACAGCTCAAGAATTGATGAAAACATCTGCAGATGTAAGATTGGAAAGAATTTATAACCTTGAAGGACGAATTCCAGTTAAAAGAATGTCCATACTAGATAATGTGGATCCGTCAAACCCATTGGATACCAGTTTTATAGCTCAAGGATTTTCTCCCAGGTTAGCATCTCCCAGAATAGAAAACTCTTTAAATAGAAATAAGGAAAAGGAATACTTCACCTTTGCTAAAAAACCAAACAGCTTTGAGACTGTAAATTCTTCGAGAATTCGAGTTCACAAAATTGTTCAAATGACTTGGACGGAGTGTAAACAGTATTTAGAAAGTATTTTATCAGATGAATTTGTTTTCATATCCAGAGTTACTGAGTATATTAAGGAGAAGTTATTTTCCTCTATGACTTTACCATTTTCAACATGCGGAGCTCTTCGTCATCTAATGAATCCATATTATAGTAGTCTTCACAATCAAATTCTTGGGGAAAACAGGAAAAATTATCAGCAGAGAAACGCCAATATTAACGCCTCCTCTTTCTCCAATCATTCCAATTCTTTTACCAAAAAAGAATCAGAAGATGATGTCGACTCTATCAAGGATATATTTAAATTGGATTGTGATAGAGTAAACAGCGCAACAAGTGATGACTTGCACGATTTCAATAGTACACTTAATCAAATTGAGGATATGAAAGTCGGTTTTATTCAGATGGGAGAAACCTCTTTTCCTTTTTTAGAGGAAAAGAATGTGGATTCTTTGAGTATATTCTATATTGAATATTTAAACAGCAGAATTACCATGATTATTAATGGAGAAAACACACACACAAATCCAAGTGGAGAAATTGAACCATTCACTATTACAAAAGTTGGAGAAGTTGTTGCAAAGCCAATTCATCATTGCGTACATGAGTGTATTAGATTGTCTAGAAGACAAACTTACAAGGAGAATCTTTCTTCAACAATTGAAGAAAGAAAAGATAACACCCCTCAATGCAATACTACATTATTTAGATATCTGTACAATGTAAGTAAGATACTATTCACATTTTACATATTTCTTCTAGAGTATAAAATATCTATGCGTATTTAATTATATGAGTAACGAGAATGTCAATTCATTGATGGCAAGAGAAGAGGATTTCCCTTCCATTTATCATCTTCTATTTCAAATATTTCCAAAAAAGAAAGAAAAAGATATTTCAACCAAACAAAGCCTGAATGATTTAAGAAGATCTTTAGGGAAGGTTGACGACAAATCCTGTCTTCAACAATATTCTAATAATACTTCTCTTATTGAGTGGATTATTTCTTATAGATTTGAGATTAACAGCGTTTTTGAAATTACTCTTAACTTTATTCATTCTAAAACCTTGGAATTGAAATTGCCAAAAGAAAAGAAATTGGAAGTTATTCTACTCAGTTCAGATACCTTTGTTTTGATGGAGCTGGTTAATCACTTCGTTCAAGTGTTGAGGGGAGATACACTGTTAACGGAATATGGGTTTCAAAGTTCTCTAGACACAGTAGGAAACCATACTATTACCTCCAATAATATGCTCTTTGCTTTAAAATCAATTCTTAATGGAATGAAACGAGAAGTTGGAAAGTTACTGGAATTATATTTGAATAAGATATCTCTCGAGGTAACATCCCTTTTAGATGGTTTTCTTCAAGAAAATGAAGGCTGGTTCGGACAGTATTATTCGCAATCCCAACCTCCAAATAAGAAAAACAAGAGGAGAATTGTTCCAGTTAAAGTTGAAAAAAAGAGCATTTTGAACGAAACTTATTCTAGCATCCTTAATGGATTAAGCCATTTTTCTGGACATTACATAACCGAAGATGTTCGAGGGTTTATTGTTGAGTACTGCTGTAAACTATTGGTCAATCAATATATTTCATTCATTGAAAAAAACCACGAAGAGAATGTTAATTATCTAACCAGAAAATTAAAAAGAACAGCAGAAAGAGTTAGAGCCGTGAACAGATTAACTATGTCTCTCATTGATCAGTTATCTGAAGATAAGTTAACAGTTGTTAAAAGTCTAGATAGAATTCCTAACATTTCTATAGATACTTCTCTAAGAGATGCAATATTAAGAAATATTAATCATTTAATTTCCATTCAAACGATGATGATAGAATCAGAAAATAGTGTTGGAAGGAAGAAACTTGTGAAAAAGAATCAAGTACTTCCTGGCAAGGAGAAAATCAAATAAAAAAAATGTCTGGTCTTTTCTCTCGTATGCCAAAGTATGATGCAACTTTTAAAATGAGATTGTTAAATGATAATTTTCGGAGGATGGAAACTTTGAAATTATACAAGGAAGTTTTAAAGTTTTCAAAATTATTTACTTGGCAAGATGAAAGTGGAGTAATGTGGGGAGATATGATAAAACTTTCTGCAAGACAAGAAATTGAATCATCAAAGGAGGAGAAAGATCCACAAATTCTAGCACAAGCATTGGTAAATGCTAGAATGGCTCTTGATGAAATACAAGAAAAATACCACCAACAACAATTAAAAGTACAACAACAGTTTACTAATCATATTAATAATACAAGAACCGATGCTTCTTCAAGACCAAGAACACCTATAGAAATAATGCAAGAACGTGAAATGATGAAGAAAATGGGATTTGATCCAAACATGAGCCGACACCATACAGACTACACAAACATTCCGATTGATACCACTTCAAATAATATTCCTATTTTAACACCTAATGGTTTGTGGAAGGAAGAAAAAAAATAATTGAAAACAATTATCAAAATTAATTGGTACAGAATCTGGAATTATTGTTTAAATCTTAGGAAGGAAAAAGTCACCTATTGTGATTAAATAATAGAATTAAGTTATTTACAAATAAGTTAAAATAATTTTTGAGCTGGAACCAAAAGCTCCTCATTGATCTTTTGTTGCATGTATTGATTCAGCAAATCTCTCAACTCATTATTCTGTTTTCTGATCATTTCAGTTTCTGTAATGAGTTTTTCTCTTTTGGCAAGAGATTCTCCATATTTTTCTAATCCCCTTTCTAAGGCTCCCCACACTTTATATCTTGATTCTGGGATGACTTGAGCAGTTATCTTCCAAAACTCTCTTTCTTCTTTTCTTTTTCTATCTTTAGCTTTCTCTACAGTTGACAACACCTTTTTCTTTCGTCCTGTTTCGTTTTGTTCCATAATAGCTTTCTTGTTTTGCTCTTCCACAAACTTTCTCAATATTTTAATTATCATTTCTGTGGAGATATTGTCTACTGTCAGCTCTGAGTCTGTTCCTTTTTCTTCTTCAATTGCTCTTTGGAAAAAATTTACCATCTTTGTTGCTTCCTCGGGTGTATCTATCCCCAATACTCTCAAAATATTGTCCACTTTCAGTATTTTTGATTCTTCCATTGTCAGCTTAGACAATATTTTCTCAACTTTTTCTTCTACAAGAAATCCAGCACTATCACAGAGAGATTCAAAAATAACTCTAACAGTTTCTGTTGCTGGAGAGTTGGGATTTGTTACGGTTTCCTTTGAAGATTCACTAATAGACTCTGAAAAAGAAGCCTCTAAATTTGAATTATTTGTGGTGTCTTGCAAGAATAAAGTTTCCTTTTCTTGATTTGTTTTGGTTTCTTCTTCAGGGGGGATCCATCTTAATCCTAATTGTTGAGTTGTTATTATTTCATCTGCTTTTTTTAACTTTTCAGCCAAATCCTCTACAATTTCTTGGTTCATTTTCCAAATATCCCTGTATTTCTTAGTATCAGCTTCTTCAAAGTATTTAAATTTTTGCAACAAATCTTTGTACTGTATACTCATTCGTTTGAATTGTTCACTTGTTTCATTATTTTCTGCCTTATACTTATTATCATCTCTAATATATTTAGCTTTAATTCCACTTAATTGGTCTTGCAACTTTGCCATTATCCCCTTGTTGTTTCTCACTGCTACTTTGTTATCCTCTACTCTATCAACAAGAACTTCAAAATAGTATTCAAGTTTTTGCGCCATCAACTGATATTCACCCCTTATTGAGTCAATTTCTTGTTCATATTCGTGTATTTCGTCCAGCAGATCTTTCTTTTTTTTAGCATACTTTTCCATTTCTTGGTCTGCCAATACCTTCAGTTGTTGTTCATACTCATCCACTTTTTGAATTCTTCCAAGTGCATAATTTTCTTCTTTTTTGCTTCTCTCTTCAGCAATACCTTCAAACTCTGAAAGATTTTTCTTTAACATTTCTTTTCTCTCTTTCTCAAATGAGGTTTCAATTCTTTCTAGCTGAAGGTTATATTGATCTGTTAGTTCTCTAACTTGGTTGTTCATTCTTTCAATTAATGTATCAAGATCCTTTGCTTGTTTTTTAAGCGCTCTCACATACTCCTCATCTCTAGCTTTCAATTCATTTGATAATTCCATCACAAGAGAATTTTTGCTCTCAATTACTTTTTTACACATTTCCTCTTGCTCTCTGATTTTATCCATTAAAGCTTGATGATTTTTCTTTTCAAATAATGAAGGCCATTTCATTTGAATAGCTGCATTCTTTTTTGCGCTTACAATTGCCTCACTTTTTAATTTTTGTTGAATTTCTTCCTTTTTTACATCATATTTTAGTCTTCTCTTATTCTCTTCCATATCACTTTCTATTTTGACATTTGTTACTTGTTTAGATCCATCCCTTATTTTTACTTTAATAGAAGAAATTGATTCCTCAATTTGAGAGACCGAGTCCTTTATTACCGTTGGGGTAATGATGTCTTCTTGTATTACTGTTTTTTCTTTTGTTGTATTAGATTCAGTATTTGTTATTTCTTCACTAGACAAATGGTCATTATTGCCCAACGTTGTACCACTATCTGCAGTCGGTTCTAGTTCTGCCGTTGGGGTTTCTGATCGTGATGATGGCATTTTTTATTGTAGAATTTTACTTTTCATTGGCGGCAGATGCTTTAAGACATCAAAAAAAAATACCATTATGTCCTCTATTTGCTGCTCGGTTTGTGGACAGGCAGAAAGTGAAACGTTGTTTGGTAGAAAATGCAAAGTGAAAAGTGAAAATATTGAATTATACCGAGAAAGTAATCCTACAGTACCAAGAGAACAAATCACGTTGGGAATATCTTGTGACTCTTGTTACAAAAGATATTTTGCGTACAGAAGAGGTTCTACACAAAAAACAGCAAAACAAACAAAAAAGGATGATTATGATTTGGAGGATTTTGATGCTGAAGAATTAATTGTCCAAAAAACAAGATCTAAAACTAGGAAGGAATTGGAAGAAGTTTTAGCACCACCAACGGAAGCAAAAAAGAGAGGACCTAAAAAAGGAAGCAGGAAAGTAACAAAAGACAACAACCAGCCAGTAGGAATGTGCGGAAAAGGTGTTGATAAAGTCAAACTAGACTTTAACTTTGATGAGACTATTACGGAAACCATTGACAAGGCAAAAAGTGTTCAACAATGGTTAGAGTTGGGGTGTAGTAATTTCGAGCAAGTAGAAACAATTGATTTTAGTGAGGCAACCGATGATATTATAGATTTATATTTATACAAATTGGGAAAACCAATTGTACTAACAAATGCCCTTCATGCACTTGCTGAAGGTGCCATGGAAAGGGACTTGTCTATCTTAGAAACAGATAAGAAATCATTTATTGATCAGTATTTGAAAAAACAAATGTCATTGTTTCATTTGAATTATTTGCGTGATGTTTGTGGATCATACGAAACATCACCTAGAGACAACATGACATTTGATGATGAAAGTATGTCTCTTAAGGAATATATAGACTTTGTACAAAGTGACAAGAATATCCGTGCTCCAGATCGTAGAATCTTATATGGAAAAGATATTAGATGTCCTGACGAATGGCATGAATATTTATTTAAAAATCCAAGATTTCCTGAAAGATTCAAATACAAAGGTGGAAGAGATTTGTTGGCCAATACAGAAAGAAAAGTACAATCAATTAATTTAATGATATATGTTGGTAATAGTGAAACATTCACTCCTGCTCACAAAGATGTGTGTGGAGCCCTTGGTCATAACATTATGGTTTACGCTGATAATGAAAGAACTCATGCAATATGGTGCATTCTAAAGTATGAAGATTTGGATTTGATTAGAAAATTTTGGCAACAAAACGGTGCATTCTTAGATGATGACAATTGCTTTTTGCCAATACATATTTTAGCAAAAGCACCATTTACAGTGTACTTGTACGAACAAAAATGGGGTGATCTCATACTTCTTCCCCCAAGCTCTCCTCATCAGGTATTGAATATGGGAGGTAAAAGCATCAAAGTAGCATGGAATACACTTTCATGTCTAGCACTTCCATATTCTTATGAGATTCTAGATGAATACAGACGATTTGGAAAATCTCAAGTTTATAGAATCAAAGCTGTGACGTACTATTCAATGATTAGCTATACAAAAAAGGCACAAGCTTTTAATTCAGAAAATATTAGTTTAGAAAAGGACCCTAAACGATTTTTCAATGATTTTTTAATTTTACTTCGAGTTTTTGATGACATTTTATTCGAAGAATCAATAGATTCCCCCTCTTTCAAAGATACCATTGCCAAAAAGCTTCCCGAACCTCGCAGCTCAATGCACAGGAGATATTGTAACCATTGTAAAGGGGATATCTTTAACAGATGCTTCCATGCTGAAGAATTTGAAGATGGTTATGATTTATGTATGGATTGTGTGGCGGAAGGAAGAGGATATCTTTATAAGGACTCTCTTCAACTTATGGAACATATCACCTTTGAAGAACTAAAGGCCAACTTTAAAACAGCCAAAGAAGAATTCCTTAGATTTTCTCTCCTTTCAAATAGGCCTACTGTAAACAATATGTCTGATGTAGAGAAGTTGATTCTTTGTAGTAGAGATGCCAATAACACTGTGTCAATATCTACAATAGCATGGAACAATTTACAAATGTTGAAAAGAGATTCATATGCAGAGGTATTTTGTCATCAATGTCAAACTCACAAGTCGGACTATCTTTTTTCTGAATGCTCTAAATGTCATTTGAATTACTGCAATCAATGTTTATGGGATAGATATGCGCTCACTCTTTGTGGTTGTAAAAGAGTTTGTAATTGGGTATGCCCAAAATGTAATGATGCCTGTAACTGCAAGAATTGCTTACGAAGTAGAGATGTAGACTGTTTGGAATATTCTACAAATGTATTATCAAGACTTGATGATATCAAGGAGATTTTGCCTTTCTCTGTTGGTGATGTGAATGGTGCTAAAATAGATAACAAATTAAGTAGTGTAAATGATTTTCAACCTAAACCAATCAAACAAATTCTTGAATCTAAGCGAGCTAAGCACCTATTAGATATAGCTGACTTTCCAATAGAAACAAATCTTGAAGATAAGAAACAAATTGCCCAACTAGGTGAATATTCCCAGAAAAAGAGAAAATTAATTATAGTGAACAAGAACCCCAAGAGAACAAAATTGAAAATTATTCATAACAGAAATCAAGATCTTCAAGTAGGAGTTTGTTACACGTGTAAAAGATCTATTTCTACACAAATTGTTTTTCAATCCAAAGTTGAAAAATTCAAGTTTTATTGTGATTTTTGCATTAACAAAGATTCCACCTTAGACAAAAGTAACTTGATAGTGTTTGAGTATTTATGTGACAGCTGCAAAACAACAATTATTGGGGTAAGATTCCATCATGAACCAACAAGCACGGATTTATGCCAGAGATGTTATGTTTCAAATAGCTTCCCCAATGCCCTCCAAGAATATGAGCAAACTTTTGGGTGTGGAGTTTCCAAATCTTTTGAGATTAAGGTACCAGATTATGCTGATCTCAAACAATAATGACTCTTATTGAATAATTCCCTTTTTTCGAATTAAGCTGCAGTAAACTTTTCCTTTTATTCGGTTGGCTTTTTGATATGATAAAAATGTAGGAATGCATTTCCAAGCACACTGTCATCTGCTAGTTGTAAACTTCTATTATTGGTAGTGTGGTCTTCCAATAGGTTTTTACTTCCTGCTAATTTTATGCTTGACCAGGTCTGTCCAGAGAAGAACCCTTCAATGCCCTCAAAAGGATTTACACTACAAAGCATTAAAACACCACCAGGTTTTAGGGTCCTATAAACTTCAGATTCATAGGAGGTGAGATCTGAAATGGTTGAAGAATCAAAAGACAGTATGCTATCAAAAGTTGCCTTATCAAAAATAAAATCAAAAGTATTGTCCTCAAAAGACAAATCTCTAACATCCATTTGTTTGAAAGAAATTATATCAGCAATATCAGCATACGAATCAGACATCAGGGCTATCAACATATTACTAATGTCAATTGATGTAACTGAGCAAAGCTGCTTTTCCATATGACCTGTTAAATGTAATGAAACTGTTGACAAGCCGCAACCAATATCTAAAATTTGTAAAGACTCCTTGTTTGGTTTGGTTTTTAACTTTAGAATTGCTTCTGGAAGATAGCTTTTAATTACATCCCAATCACAATACCATTCCTCTACATATCCATGTTGTTTGTAGTATTCATTCCAATAGGTCAATTCTTTTGATTCATCCAATTGATTATTATCCAAAGCATCAGTAGTAATTTGAGCACTTTTTAAATCTTTTGCCCTCATTATGTGAACAAAGTTATCTGCTATTTGATATTGAGCTTCTACATTTTTACTTCTATCCCTGAATTCCTTTTTGACATAGCTTATTAGAGAATTTCTATCTTGTTCGGAAAGATATCTCTGCTTCTCAATTAATCTAATTATTGTTCGATAATAAAAAGGGCCTTTCATTTGTTCCATCCAGGCATCATCTACTTCATCTTCTGAAAACGATCTGTTTCCTAAAATTGGAGATGTTATGGAGGATTGCTTTTTGGAAGGGTTTAGGGTGTCCTTTGCTTTTTCAATTTCTTCTGGTGTTAAATTTACACCAGAACCACTAATTAAACTATTTATCATTTCATTTTCTGGAAGTTTTTGTTTTGATTTTGTTGATGTACCGCTTGATGGAGGAAGTGGAGTTGCAAGAGGGCTCGGAGCTTTGGTTTGTGCCTCTACTGTTTGATAATTCTTCTTCTTGGATGATGTATTCTTGGAAAAGAGTCTTTCAATTTTACTCAACTTCTTCTCCACCTTTTCCTTTGCAATTCCAGAAGATTTGACATCGTATTGAGAACTGGAATAGAATTTTGATTGAAAAATATGATGACTTGTTGAAGCTGAAAAGAAAGCCGATGTTGAAGCTAATCGTAGCAGCGAGCTTTTCTTTAACGATTTCATTTTTTTAAATTAAAAAAAAATGAAAAAACTCATCACAGGCAAAACAGTACAAAAAAGAATTTCAAAAATAAATTTGAAAAGTTTGCAAAAAGAGAATATTCTAAAGACCGATGACTACTCGGGATTACAATTTTATAATATTAATTTAAAATTGAGCAACGGATTATATTCTTCCAATAAGACTAATCATAACAATCCGGTAAAACCAGCAAAAACAGTCTATGCTAGAAAAAAAGATAACCTAGTAACTCTTTCACAAAAAGTTGTTCCGAATAGAAATTTGTTAAATGATGAACAATTAACAAAAAAGCATCTAGGAGTAGATCCAAATGCATTAAAATTATCACAACATCAACGAGAGGCCTTGGAAAATGCTATGGAAGAATTCAGTTCTATGGAATCTGAAAAAAAGGCTTCCAATAGAAAAGAACAACAAAGAAGAAACAAGATTCAAAAGAGTAAGGAAAGAGATGAACAGATAATTAGAGAAAAAATCCAGTCACCTATCATTGAAGCAGAATCTGAAAATCAAATGATTGAAGCCCCTCCAAGATCCCTTTCAAATAGAAAAGGGTTTTATCAAAATGAGTCAATCAAGTCTTCAGAAAAATCAATCGCTGAGAGGCAGTTAGATACTACCAAATTCAATCCAGAGTCTCCAGAAAGTTTAGTACCTTTCAAATCTCCAAGACTTGTAAAACTTTGGAGACAAGGTAAAATTATTCCAGAAAATATTAGAGAAAGATTAAGATTTGAAGAAACTACCGAGGGTCATATGGATATTTATTTACGAGATGACCCAAACTGGTCACAGTTAACTACTAAACTACTCACACCAACTAGTACTCTAGTTCAATTAGACAAAATGAAAATGCTCTCTGAGGAAACAGATATTCACAAATATTTCGACAACAAACCTTTAACAATTAAGAATTTTGACTATCTTATACGATGCCAAGCTATGCAAGGAAAATTGGAATTAGCCGAGCAAACATTGGAGAAAATTAAATCATTAGGACCTTCTCCCCAAATATTGACAAATATATTGGAGAAGAGAAAGGCTGCAATTTTAAGTGGACAAACAGAAATTGATGAAAATGATCTATTATTACCCTCTGAATACACATACAATGCTGTAATGACAGCTTGTGCTGTTAGAGGAGATTACAAGAAGGCCTATGGTTACTTGAGAGAAATGCAAAGTGAATACCACATTAGTCCTACAATTGTATCTTACAGTATAGTAGTTCATGCAATGGTAAGGGCTGGAAAGGTAGATGAAGCTTTCCAAATGGTAGAATTAATGCGTTCTCACAACTTACCAACAGATACTGTTATTCATACTGACCTTATTCAAGGTTGTATAAAGAAAGGAGATTTAGAGAGAGCTTGGAATCATTACATGGCTATGGGTATGGTTTATGGTATTCCTCATGATGAAGTAACTGTTACAACAATGATAAATGCATGTGCTATGAGAGGCCAAGCAGAAAGAGCCATGATGCTTTTCAGGAGATTGGAGCAACAAATGATGATAGAACCTACAGAAGTAACATTCAATACTCTTATCAAAGCATATTCCAAAAGAAAAGAACTTCGTCACAGAGTGTTTGAGTTAGCTGAACAAATGGAGCTGTACGGTTACAAACCAGATATTTATACTATTAATTCTCTCATCAATGCATGTGCAGATGATGGAAGTGTTGCCAGAATGAAAAAGGTTCTTTTGAAAATGAAAGAGATAGGTATTAAGCCAACTGAGCACACTTACAATTCAGTCCTTAGCTGTTTTAGTATTGCTCAACAACAGAAAGGCAACAAGAACCTCACAAAAGAACAAAACCAAAACATTTCAGATGCTCTTGCTGTTTATGAAAAAATGAAAGAAACTAATCTTCCAATCAGCGAATATACACTCAATTCGTTATTGGGAGTATTTACCAATGCTCTCAGAGTGGAAAAAGCCTTGGAATTGTGCAAAAATAAGTACACAGAACATAATCTACAACCAACAGGAATAGCATATACGCTTTTAGTAAGGATGTACTGTAGATTGAAGAGGACAGAAAGTGCACTACTCTTATTTGATGAAATGAAACAAAATGGTGTCCAACCAACTTATCAAGCATACAAACATATGATTTTCAGATTAGTAGATGAAGGATATGTGGAAAAAGCTCGCGAATTCCTAAAGAAAATGTTCGAAGAAACTGGATTTAAACTATCTCCATCAGATATTATTGTTTACAAGAGTAAGGTTGCTGGAGCAGCAAGATTGATCAAAGAAAGAAAACATGAAGAAAATGTAGATGAATACATCAAATCCTTTATAGATTTGGTTGACTATGATTTGACTCCAAAATCAAAGCAATAAAACCACAAATATTATTCTGCAGTAAGAACTACTTGTAAATCCTCTGAATTAGAGCTCAAAGAAATAGTGTATGTGATGTATCCACCTTCAGTGTAGGTCAAAGTTGGAGAAGTAATTATTCCTTCTTGAGGAATTTCGTACCTCCAGATTGGCTTGCTTGCATGGTTGAGTATTGAGAAAACTAACCCAATATGAACTTTGGATGTCTTTACAGCAACTTTGAAAGTTTGTCCTTTCTTCCATTGTGTCATGTCCACGTTTAATGATTTTGATCCTCCATTTGGTCCTGATTTAATAATATGTGAAATAGATTTGATTTGTGTTTTTTGAGGAATTTGTTGTGGGATTTGGTTGGAACGATGTGAGAATGGACGAACCAAAGAACAATCCAAGAGGTTTTGCTTAATTTCAGTATTAATAATATTGCAGAGAATTGTAGAATTTGTTTCCTTAATTTTTCCAAAAGTTTTGAGTGTTGAGTTGAAAATTTTTTCTCTTTCTTCCCTCTTAAATTCATAGTCCACTAAAGCAGCTAAATAAATTTTCATTAATGAATCACCAGTATCCTTTCGTTGATTTAAAGATTTCTTAGCATCCTCCAAAGCTTCCGTCGTTGTTTTAATTACTGAATCGATTTGATTTTCAAGATTATTCTTATTTTTCAATTCATATAATTTGGCAAAGTTATTCACATCACCAAAGAGTTTGATTTCTTCCTCCATAGATGGTATTCTTTTACTTGTTTCTTGAACAATCTTTTTGTTCAATAGTACGTTATTTAGGGATTTTTCATATGCTTCATACAGATTATTTTCTTCTTCTACGTATTTTTCTAAAAACTTAATAATATTTCTGGAATTTGGTGCTTGGGCCAACCTATCTGTGAGGCAAGTATAATTTTTCAAGTTACTTCCAAATTCATTAAATAAAAGGGGAAAGTTTGGTTTTTTGGTGGCAACTTCACAAGAGAGCAAAACCACTACCAACAACAAACCGCACAAAAGAACGGTTTTAGTAAGGTACATTCCAGCCTACTGTAATTTTTTTTGATGGTAAAACTGTACAATTTACAGAGTAAAGACTACGTAGTAGAGGCACATGCATGGTTTATTTTCAGAAATTAATCCTTGTGTTGGGTTCTGGTTTTGAAAAGTGGATGCACAGTAGAAGGAACTTTGGTAGCTTTACCTCTTCTTCTGGAAGTTGTTGTAGAAGCTTCATAGGAATGGTAATAAATTTCATTTCCACCAGAGATTGAAGCAAGACTACTAGATGATTTTTCAACTTCATCATCAACGTTGATCTTTTCTTCTTGGCCTCTTGCATCTTCAGCCTTTTTTACAATAGCCAACATGTCTAATTCTTCCTTCTTGGTATTCATGTGTTTGAGAGTTAGACCCATTTCATTAGCACCTTGCCTGTAATACTTTTGAATATCAGGCAAGACTCTAAAGCTGTAGCCTTGATTAATTAAAAATTGTTGTCTCTTTGTGGAGAAGAACATTTCTTGTGTATCTTGAGAAACTAGTGTGTAAAAGTAGGCCTGTTGATTTTTAAGTCCACCACCTTTTGGACGAAGGATACGACCCAAACGTTGAGCCTCCTGTCTTCTACTACCAAAATGAGATGATATTTGAATAATCACAGTTGCCTCAGGAATGTCAATTGCTGTATCACCAACCTTACTGATGAAAATAGTGTTATAATGGTTAGTATTTCTGAACTGGTTCAAATAATAAACACGTTCTTGTTGTTTGGTATTACCAAAAATGTAGGGTACCCCCAACTTTTCAGCATATTCTTGGAGAGCAAAAACATTGTCACTAAAAACAATGATTTTGTCTCCTTGCTTTTCATGGTATCTAATCAGAAATTCACAAGCTCTAAACTTATTTGGATTCATAACATAAAGTAAAGTCTTTTTCTTAGCATTGGCTGTTAAGTATTCAGCAAAAAACTCGGCAGTCATGGGACACCAAACTTCCACACATTGCACATTAGCAAGATGGCCTTTTTGTTGTAAATCAAGCCAATTAGCTTCATATAATTTTGGACCAATTAAAAAATATAAATCGTCTGTCTTGTTATCTTCACGTAAAAGAGTGGCTGTCAATCCTAATTTACAATGAGACTTTACACTCGCAACATGTCTAAACATGTTGGCGGGAACGACGTGGACCTCATCTAAAATTAATAATCCCCATTCTCTACTTTGAATGTAATCCATAACCTCCTTTGCCTCACCACTTCTCTTTCTGGTATGGGTAATCATAGTGTATGTTGTAATGATGATTAAGGGATCATCATCTTTTGGTAAAGCATCCTTCTCCTGAGAAGTAAATACTACTACACGATTCTCATCAATAGTACTCCATAATTTAAATTGATTCTTCCATTCAATACACTGACT